TTTTAGACTCCCCGGATAAAAGAAAACGATATCGGATGTAACATTTACCACTGAAGGTATTGCGGCGCGCATTGAAAACTGGCAACTATTGGAAGAATACTCTGGAAGCGATCATCAATACATCCAGTTCCATGTACTCAACCAAACCCCTGACAGGTACTCAACCCCGTGGCACTCAAAACGGCGAAACGCTGCAATGCTGAACATCGACATTTTTGCAGAGGTCATGACCAATAGCGTGGAAGAAATCGCTGTCAAATGCCAACAGCGCGAATATAAGTGTAGTGCTGATAAACGAGTAGCACTTACTACGCATTTTACAGAACATGCTTGCGATGCGGTAATGCCCAAAAAAGGATCACAAAACAGAAGGAAACCTGCCTACTGGTGGACGAAATAACGGAGATCAGAAGGAACTGTCTCCGACTCAGACGTTGGGTGCAAAGAGCCAGAGGCCGAAAAGACGCCAACACATTTGCCTCTGACCATCGAAATGTCAAAAAGACCCTCAAAAAGCCATCGAAACAGTAAAATTTGTAAATGGCGAGTGACTATAGATGAAGTCGACTACGGACCTTGGATCAGGAATTGTGCTGAAAAATTCGGCTACATCTCTAACACTATCATAGACGCCGTAACTATGCAGGAGATAGTTGATACCCTTTCCTCTGGCCATCCGGGAAGAGTAGATGACGACGAGGGACCACCGCCGGACGACGTTCTCCTATTCTCTGAAGGAGAACTAATCGAAGCAGCCCAATCACTGAAAAGCGGAAATGCACCTGGTCCTGACTGAGCACCAGTGGAGGCAATACTGAACTGGTGGGCTATGCCGACGATGTAGATCTGGTCATCATCGCATGCTTATCAGATGAAGCATAATGAAAGGTGAATCAAGCAATTAGTCGTATCAAGACGTGGATGACGGAACATGACCTGGAACTAGCAGAACACAAGACCCAAAAAATCATGCTAACACGGGAACACCAAAATAACAATTAGAGTGGGAGACAGAGATATCGAGACAGTCAACAGTGCCAAGTATCTGGGAGTGACTTTGGTCACGAAACTCAACTTTTGGTCGCATTTACAAAAAGCAGCAGTCAAATGAACACAACAACGACTGCCATCAGGCTAATGGCCAATACAAATGACCCCAAATCAAGCAAACGACGTTTGTTAATGTCAGTGACCATCAGTACTGCTCTACGGAGCAGCAATATGGGAAGAAATCTTACCGAAAGAAAATAGCAGCAATACACGCGGCCCACTCAGTCGACTTACTTGATTTAAAGCGACAGGAGATATAGCGCACACAAAGAGAATAAGGTCACGACGAAGCCAAGAAAGCCGCACTGAACAGACTGAGACAGAAATGGCAAGATAGATGGGATCAGACACCGGTAAGTAGACCGCAAAACTGATCCCACGACTTAACTATTGGATAGACAGTACGCACGGCGAGGTCAACTATTACCTCAGGCAGTTCTTCAGTGATCACGGATATTTTCGGGAATACCTATACACAATGGGAAAAGTTACGAGTCCCACATACCTTTACTGCGAAAAACCGGATGACGCCCAACACACCTTTTTGTCCTATGAAAGATGGGACGAAGGCAGACTCAGTCAGGAAATAAAATGCAGATCTGAAGATAGGAGAATCTCTTTGCCTTAATGCTGAAAAGCAGTCAGACATGGAACGTAATGACAGTGACAATGACATTGAGACAATTCTGAGGCAGAAGAAACGAGATGGTGATGATTTTGAGCTGGACTAAACTCGCTCGCCAGTTGCAAACACGGTCGAATAGAGAGAAGTTATAAAATCTAAAAAGAATCAACACCATCCTGATGTAATGCTAAAGCGATCCCGGGTAGGAAATATGTTGATTGAATAGGGTTTGTGAGTTTAATAAGAGCCCGATGCAGATTCTCGTGGTCTCCGTGATGGATTCTCACGATCTCCCTCGTAAAAAAAACTATTATTACTACTAATTACTACTACTACTACTACTACCACTACTTCTACTACTACTATTACTACTACTAAAAATAGAGAACCGGTCTAAGGACTCATGGTTATCGTTGTGTTTGTCCACGATTTGTTAATTTCGTCGAATGACAAAAGGGAGAAACCAGAATTGAAAGAAATGCTCTCGGAAAACTTTAAAATGAAGAACGTGGACGAGGCAAACATCTCGGTATGATGATTTTCAGAGATGGTCAATCTGGCATAGTTTGGTGGGATCAAAGTACCTATGTTAAGGTTTTGGCAGCCGACGGATGAAGAGGGCATCCTCGAGATAAGGGACGTGCTGTAAGGTATAGAAGAGGGCACCTTGATCTGTGCCAGTCAGAGTACGAAACTAGACAGTACCTTTGCCGTTGGGTGCGTGAGTCGCTTCATACAGAATCCAGGGAAGCAATATTGGAGGGCTGTGAAGAGCATTTTGCGTTAACTGAAAGGCATGATGGACGCAAAAAGAGAATTCTTCAGGAACCCGCTGATCAAACAGAATAGATGTCTCTGTTACTACGATACTGACTGCGCTAACTATTCGGACGACCGTCGTTCGCTCAAAGGTAGTACTTGTTTCAGGGCGGTCCCAATGTATGGCAAAGCAAGAGGCAAGGTTCAGTGGCGGTGCCTTTCCATTAGTGCGCTGTCCGTAACGAAGACTGAATATTTCAGCTGCCTGCAAGGAAGCAAAGAAGTTGTGCACTTTGGCTCTTCTCACAAGGAACCGAGGATACAGGTCACGTAAAACCACCCTCAAGAAACGGTTTCAAATTTCAATTTAACGTACCTAGATCTTGTGGATTGCTTCCTCAAGGTCACTGAAAACAGGGATCTTTATTTACATAAATGTACCAACATTTTTTTTTACCTTTTTTGCTTTCCCGTATACATACGTATATACGCGTAGAATAGGGAAAGTTATGTAATGCTGCGGAAAGTCGATTTCGAGATTTCAACCGAAATACACGTTTTGGGGTCCCCTGACACCGAAAAAGAAGTGTTTTTTTCCCACAAAACGTCCGTTTCATCCGTCTGTGAACACCACTAGCGCCTAAACCATACGTATGATTCTTTCCAAAATACTGTCCCCGGTCGATCTGGCCCGACTCGTGGCGTTGCTATTTTGAAAAATAAATCTAAATATTTGCTACTTTACATGAAGCCTCATGGAAATTTTCAAAATTTTCTCAAAAACGTCTCCAAAAGTTTTCTTTAAATGTTATGCAAAGATAGAGTAAAATACACTTATAAAGGTGGCATAGGTCCGATTTTCCGAGTTAACTCTGAATTTTCGAAAACTTCAAAATTTAGAATTTTTTCGGGCATCTTTTTACAACTACCAAATTGAAGATAAGGATTTCTCCTTCAAATAAAATTTGTTCCCCATCGTGAGTTATTTCATTAAGGCCATGTACACTTTTGAAAATTTTAGTTTTTCCCCGCTATATTGCGTGCAAAATGTGCGATTTTAAAAAATAACAAAAACAAGATTTACTCAAAAACGGTTCCAAATTTTTTCTTCAAACTTTTGGTAGGGATAGTGCCTTAGGTACTTTGTGAGATGACAAACACACAATATTACTCTATTCTTTTATTTTTTTCAAAAATTACAAAAATGTAATTATTTGACTTCTCTCACGTCGTTAATATTTACATTAGCGGCGACTTGTTCACATTATTGTATTTATGACTATATATGTTTTAAACAATTTCATATAAAGTTTCTCGAAAACTCAAACGTTTTCTGTAAAAATTAGTTCACATTTTAGGACAAAAATTTTCAGCATTTTCAGAAACGCTCAAACGGCATTTTCTCAAAAACGACTCCACATTTTGCCTTCAAACTTTCCGAAAGGTTAGTGCTAATTGCACTCTTTAATATGATGTAAAGTTCATTTTGAATAATTTTTGGTTTTACGAAAATTAAACAAATATATTTTTTGAAAAATCTCTCACGCCGTATGCGTATTTCCAGCATTTTGTAAACACTATTGCATTTGTGAGTTAAAAGTGCCTCAAATGAGTTTAAATAAGTTATTCGAAATCTCTAAAAATTTTCCGTGAAAGCGAGAGCTTCAAATTTCGCATTTACAGTAACGCTTAAACGCCATTTTCCTAAAAACGGCTCTAAATTTTCATGTAAAATTGGCAATTATGACGAGAGTTTACTACTCTTAAATATTCTTAAAGTAATACTTCGGTTTTATTATTAGGAAACCGAAAAATCAAGAAAATGTCAAAAAAATGTACTTTTGGTGGCAATAATGGCAGCTGGCAGGAGGATGGGGCAAGACCATAAAGCCAGTCCACACCAAGGACATTAGAAAACTTTACTATGAGAAAGTCTGTGCCATTTGTAACATCACTAGTTGAATTTTGCCTGGAATTTTCGCTCTTTTGTTTCATTAAAAAATAATATAGGATGTGTTTTTCAGAGTCAATGTAATTTGTTCGACTTAATGACTTTTTTTCTTTTTTCAAACAAAGTAGTTCATTCCAGGCCAAAATACCTCCAAAATTAAATTAAAATAGAATGTTTAGTTAATGTATATAGAGATTTTTCTTTGTATTTTCAAGTTGATTCCAAAATGCCTTGAAAAGCTTGATAAGTTAATAATTTGATGACTATTTTGTGATCAAAAGTAAAAAATGCACTTAATAAAAAAAAAAAGTTCCAAAATACTCCATTTCAGGTGTTTTATTTTTATATCTCAACATTTTTGTTTAAAATAAATGAAATTTTCATGTTTAAAACATTATCAGTATTTTTGCGACTTCATCAAAGTACTGGCCCTTTTAAGTTGGATTGTCATTTTAACTCTTTCAAAAAATCTGTATATTATGTAACGTGTTTTAACCATCCTAGGTGAGTATTAAAACTTCAATTTGATGAAGTTATCATAATATATCAAACATAAATCATTAAAACTTTTATCTATCATGATGTAAGGTCAAACATTTTAGTTGGACAATGAGAATGAGCAATTGCTTTTTATTTTAATGGTTATATCATTATTTTACAAGACTGTCTTAGTTAGGATAATGAGTAACAAATGGTACTCATTTGTTTCAAATAGCACCTTTCTTTTGTCTTTGGAAAGAAGTGTTATTATATAGACAATGAAACTAGTGCCATAATGAAGTTTCTTAAACATCCATATGAGAACAAAACCAAACATTATCACATCATTGTAAATAAATTATAATTTTTTTACATGTTGCACATACAAAGTTGATGTTTTTAATAATTAGTATATACTGAATTAACTTTCATTCCCATCCTTTAAATTATATACAAATAAATTGCAGGAAAAGTCAGGCAATTTATTTGTATATTTTGCAATTTTCTTCTTGAAATAAATCATGAAAACAGGCTTCAACCCATAGCCAACAGTAGTTTCATTACAAAAAAGAAAATTTTAGTTTGAATGCTTAGTGCTCAATTCAGATTAGATGACTGCTACAACTACACCAATATTAGAGTGAGCATTAACTCTGGCAAACAAAGAAGAGGTAGTTCCTGAATAGGATTTGGTCACAAAGGTTGTATAGACATGTTAAAAAACTATGTGAAAAATAATATTCTTATAGACTGACCCATTTTTATAATTTGTAAAACTATGTTTGAAATGTAATGCAATTGTTAAAGAGAATTGGCAACATAAATCCTGTTTCACACTGTTTGTATTAGAGTGTGCAATGCCCATGTGGAAGGCTCATATTGTAATGTAAAAAAAATAGAGGGAGGAAACACACCTGTAGGATCATTTTTGTTTCATCTACACTCAGCACTCATTATTCAATGTTTGTTGGTTAATTGTAATTCACTTTAAGCAGTTAATATTTTTCACCCTCATGCCTGGCAATGCAAGACTTTGATGTTGTGCATGGTGGGTAAGCTTCAGCTGCATCCTTCTGAATCTAGTGTAAATGAGAATATAATTGCCTGTATAAATTGTTATCTCGGATTTCTCTCTTTATAATTTTTGAAGATTTATTACATTATTATACTTTAATAAGTTTTATATAGTCGTTTAAATTTTCTTATTTGGGGGACTGAAATATGCGAAACAATGTTTATTACAGTTATATTTTCAATTGTTTAAAATGTGTGTTGTTACATTCATAACAAAAAGTCAATGCCAATATTTTTGGAATAAAAAATGTCTGAAGAGCAAAATATAGCATTATATGACCACATAGCTGTCTTAATTGTGTTAAAACTCAAACTCAAGATCTCAATACCATTTAGAGATACAGATGTGCTCAACAAGGAATTTATGCAAAAACTGCTGCAAGTATTAATTAAAATGACCAACAGAAACATGATATGCAAAATAAAATGATGACACATTACACTTCCATTCTACAGCCCAAATGAAATAAAGCTAATTTATAAAAAGTTTGTTGCAGCAAAAATATATCAAACATTTATTAGAAGCATTGTCGCTGCTTTATTCTGGTCATGGGTATTTGCACCAAATATATTTCTTGGTGAAATGTACAATTGTAATATGTAATTGCAATACAAAATGTATTATAATCATAATAGTTTATATGATTATACAACAGTTAAATATTATCTTCCCAAGAATATAAAATATTTTTCATAAAATATGTTTGCTTTGATGAAGTTGGAGGGTTTGTCCAAGCATGTTATGCAACTACAGTAAATTCAGTAAAGTACAAACAACATTATGTATATCTTCATAAATAATTTTCAAATTTAGAATGTGTAATTACAAATTATTATCAATAATGGTTTTTATTGTCTGATTTGCATTAGGATTTAAAATATAATCTAAGTTCAATTTTAATGAAAATGTGAAATAACGTTTTGTTTGTAGTTGTTGTTGTTGTTGTTTTTTTCCCTTCAGAAAAAGTTTTTTCTCTTTAACACTCAACCACATGATGAAATGTTAAGATTTGCTTAATGTGTAGCAACATGGGAAAACTGAAATCCTATTTTTGCAAACACACCTTATTTATGAACGTGGGTGGTCAACAAATTGATTAAAATTCCCATATGTTTCTGGATTTTCCTCAACTCTTTCATGACATTTCTTGACAAAAATTCCGTGCTTAAATTATATCATTTGTTATAATTATGAAGTTGATTAAAAATGTTGTTATAATCTTTTATTTTAAATGCAAATAAGTCCTATTAAAAAAATTATTTCATACTAAGACTTTAATTTTGTTTTCAAGCTGATTTTCAAATATCTGGTGATGTACAACAGCAATTCGACTAGTCCAACATAATAGGTTTACCTGTGTAATGCAATGCAAAAGAAAAATACACTCACAATTCCATTACCTTTCTTGGAAATACCAATTCCAGATTATTACGATTATTTCATATGTTCCTGAGTGTTGGCCACCCTGATTATTGAGGTATGCAGCTAAAATAAAGTGGTGCACATCTGATATGGGCTTCAGTCCTATAGAAACTAAATATCAATGAAATGTTAATTAGGATATAATAGTATAAATTAATTTATTTAAAAATGAATGAGAATTTTCTTAAACATTTTGTTCTTTGCATTACCTTACAATATCCAATTATAACACACACATTTTCCTCTGTACATATGTATTACTTACATATACAATTAATCAGTGTCTTGTTTTAAGTATTATTATAGAAGGAAAAGGAATACATTTGCTGTTGTTAAATGAAATTTATTTGGAAATTACTAAATCAGAAGGAAATCAATTGTCTACATTTAATCAGTCTCATATTTTGTGAAGTTATTGCACCACCAATAGTATAACAACATTCACAGTGACTAATGCGGATAAAGCACAATTTTGGGAATTTCCAAACACATTTATAAACAGGGTATAATTGTAAGCCTGATTCAATTTTGAGATCAAGGTAATTTTTAAAAAGTTATGCATATTCCACCACATGCACTGCTTGGAAAATTAATTTTACAGACACACTACAACAGCTTCTTCATTACAAGCAATACTTCAAAGGAAGAGTAAGGAAAAAATGGATTTGGCACATTTTTGGTCCCAAATGATTTTACTTGTTTGTTGAGCACAATGCAACTTTAAACAAGTGAAACAAAAATAACAGAATACAATATTAAATAATTTATTCTATAGCAAAATAATAGTTTTAAAATTGCCACTCTATTAAGACACCAACACAGACATTTACAAGAAATACTTCTTTCAATAAACAGTTCAACACGCTGCACAAAGAAAAAAATTAACAAAAACAACAAAAAGGACCCACACTACTTCTTAGCAGACTCTGGTAACTGAGGATTCTGATTAGAAATGAAATTATTCTTGAAATGAGGTAAAAGAAATTTGGAAATGAGTATTTTTAATTACAATACAAATCAAAGAAATTTTAACCAACTTTATTCTGTTTTTGGAGTAATGAAAATGCCTTAAAACACTTGTATTCTTTAGAACTCGTCTTCAATCATACAAGATGCAAAGCAAGCATTATTTGACCTGTCATGCTGCAAATGATAGGGAAGTCAAATTAGGAAAAAAGTAACCATTCCAATACTAACAGATCTTGTTACTGCTTCCCTCCAATTATGTTCCCTAACTCCAATCATAGTACATTTTCACTCAAACATGACAACTAAAAATCAACATCCACAAATGAAATCTCTATTAATTCACCATACAATGATGGAAAAATAACTTTTAACTCTTAGTCACATTCGAGTCTAAGCAAATTTAAAACAGTCAATGGATTTTATCCACTATACACTTTATAAATACCTATAATAATAATAATCAGTTCAGTCCAATCATAATCGAAGTCATACAGTAATTGTGACTACTTCACTTTTGCACAAGTTTGTCAGACCACATTTTTATAGTTTACCATACCTGGTACGATATTTATCTTGTGAACCACAGTATTCATTATATATCAGTTTAAATAGGAACAAATGAAATACAATGATAAGAAATGAAATCGACACCCAGAACAGAGCAGGTAATCCACCAAGATGATCACCATGTTTATGAAGTGCTATCACATGATGTTCATGTGCAGGAGCTACAACAAAAGGATACCAAAAGTTACAGTAAAATATAATAGTAATGCATACCTTGTTTTGTAATTCTCACATACTACATGTCATGTGCTTTTTCACTTCTGAAGTCATTAAAAGTAGTTAGAATGTGTGAATATGAGTGGTGTGTGAGTGAGATGTGCAGTGTGTAAGTGAGGGGTGCATGTTGTGTGTACGAAGGTGTGTGGTGTGCGCGCGCGCGTGCGTGTGTGGTGTGCGCGCGTGCGTGTGTGGTGCGCGTGCGTGCGTGTGTGGTGTGCGCGCGTGCGTGCGTGGTGTGCGCGCGTGCGTGTGTGGTGTGCGGGCGTGCGTGTGGTGTGCGCGCGCGTGGTGTGTGTGTGTGCACGTGTGGTGTGTGTGTGTGCACGTGTGGTGTGTGTGTGCACGTGTGGTGTGTGTGTGTGCACGTGTGGTGTGTGT